TTAAAAAGTTTATAAATTGTATAAAATTTTACATCGTTTAATGCTTTTTATAAGGGAGAATCATATTTTGTTTAAACAAAATATCATCATATTGATTTTTGAAATATTGGCCCCCACATTTTTTTATAAGTTCTGCGTGTCACGACCTGTTACTTATAGAGTGCCATGGTTTAGCTTTCTTAAGTAAAAACCTTGACAACGTTAGCTTAGGCACAAACACTGCAGCCGTGATGCAATAGTTAGAGTTCAGAACTAAGATGTCCGAGAAAGTAAAAGACAGTATTTTTAACACTTTTTCTAATGATGTTGTTTAAACAAAAAGATATGGTTTTACTGTTAAAATAGTTTAAAAAGTCTTTTTAAACGTTGTAGAAAGTAGCGTAGCAATTGAAGTGTATTTCATGTGTCTGAGCATGTTGTCAGAATTATTATTATTTTCGAGTCTCTATAATTTTATCTTTAAATACCATTTAAATATTATCAAAACCCATTACGATATTTGCTTTAAATACTCATTAAGTTTACATGTTATAATAATAACAATAGTAAAAATTTCAATAACTATTATTTGTGGGTCATTTAACTAATTATGTAATTTTAGAAAGGGCATAAAATAAGAGAAGGCCGATGCTCGGATAAACAATTTGAGCATGGTAAACAAACTTGGAATTTTTCGCTTACCACCCAGTAGGCACGGGACCTAAAAAAAGACCTCATTGAACATTCAATTGATTCAAAAGACGTCAAAAACGTTTAAAAGACGTCTTTTTTACGTGAAAAATATATAAATTGAAAAAAATATATATATAAAAAAAAATTCGAAGTCTGAAGTCCGGAGTCCAAGCACTGATCTCAATAAAAACCAAGCACTGATCTCTATAGTAATTATTATAGCGATCTATTATATATTATAGAGTCCAAGCACTGATCTCTATAATAAGCTATTATAGAGATCAGTCTATAATATCTCATCTCTATAATAATTTTATCTCTATAATAAATTTTTATAGAGATTAGTGAGTCCAACGAGTCCTTATTTTTTCACCCCGGAACACTGTGTCCTGAAGTCCTTAAAAATCGATAAGACTTGCATCCCTGCGCAACGTTTTTTTTAAATTAAATTTTTTTAAGTTAAATTTTAAAATCGTTGATTTGTATTTACATAGTTTTTTATTGTTTGTTATTATTTAATTTTATTTTTGAAATTGCAAATAAATTTTATTTGTCAACATTATATCTCAGAGGCTAAAAATAATATTTAGCAGCTTATATCGCCTAATTGTATTATAGCATTTTTAAAAACAAAAGTTATACCTTATTTGAAAACTGTTTTAGAACAGTAGAATATTAAAGATGGTGTGATGCTATTTTTTAAATACTTAAACTGGCGGACCTGTACACGGCGCACCCTAAACTCGGCGAAGTTCGTTTATTCTCGGAACGAATATTCTCGGTGTTAGCTTTTGGTATTTTACAGAATAGGCGCTAAAATATTACGTTAATTCACGCCATAATGGTAACGTCGAAAATAAAAAAACAAAAACTTGTCGTAAATGCATTTTAATAAAAATTTAACATTTTAGAAAAAAAATTAAATTTTACAAATTATCAACATATATACATTAAATAATAGATTAAATAGATCTTCTAAGGGTATCTTCTCTTCTTAAGATTTCTTTTTGTAGCTTATCTTCTTTTAATTGATCGTCTAAAGGTATTTTCTCGTAGCTTCTCTTCTTTACATATCTTTTTGTGGCTAATCTTCTTTTAATCGATCTTCGACAGTTATCTTCTTGTAGCTTATCTTCTTTGCATATCTTTTTGTGGCTTATCTTCTTTTAGTTTTTGCAATGTATATTTTGTGTTGTACATAAAAAAAAACAAGTTCAATATAAATATTATGAAACATTTTCAATGTAAATATTATATTATAATACTTATTTTACATTACAGAGGATACCTGTTATGCCCAACATTATATTTTCGTTTAAAAAAATAAAGATTCATCTATTTCTACGATGAGCCCTGGACCACCTAATTGATTAACAGCAGCAACATCCATAGTTTTTAATGAACGAATATCCCGGAAGTATTGATACCACTGAATTGAGGTTTTTTCGTTTACACCTACTACCTCAGATGCAGCGGTTACAGGGACCTCCAGGATCCATAAAAACATTAATTAAAGTATCAGACTTACACATAAAGATGTAGAGCTTTCAAAAAATCCTGCTCAAATTGACTTCGTCTTTTTGCAAGTGTTACATCGCCAAATATATTTTTCCTTAAATAAAGTATTTTGAAGATACAAGGGATAATCTGTTTTGTGTAAATAATAATAAAAATGTTAAGTATTCATACTTGACACCTTCATAATTTTGCACAAGCATCCTTTGACCACATAGACAAAGTTTTTGAAGTGGCATTAGCCTTTTTTGTTGCAAAAAATCAACCAATTTTTCTTCTTTGATACTTTCAATGAACTCAGCTAAAGGTGTCATCTTACTTATTTTATTACATTATTAGTAATAAAGTAACCTTTACCCACAATGGATATAGAAGGAAAACCTAAATAAAATTGTTGTCATGGCCCATTTAAGTTATTCATTACATTCTGTATCTTCACCAAAAAAGTAGAAGGCTATTTATATGTTTACAATGCTGTTTGGACAATATGGTTAACAATTGCTCTGTTGTTGGATAGCGATTTAATTATCCTGGAAATCAATCAATTCTTTTAATTTCTTTTCTAACAAGCAAAGATATAGAAAACAGATGGATTCGATTTGTTAACAGAAAAAAATGACAACCAACTTTCTCATTTGTAATCTATGTAAAGCATTTAGAAAATAAATTTATAAAGAAGGATGAATAAGGTAAAAGAATCTGATTAAAACTATAAAACCAGTTTCAACTAGTCATCTAGACTCTATAGAAACATCATCTTTTCTACCTATTATCTTACTACCAAAAAGATCTCATAAAAAATAAAGATTTATATTTTATATTGTTTATAAAGAGTTTTCTTGTATCTTTGTCCCCAATGATTTAGAAATGGGAACAATTTTAAAAAGGAAGCATGCTTGAAAACTTTCCTTCATACCTTAAATACAATAATAATACAAGCAGAAATTCTGTTTTTTGGATAAACGTAAAAAACATCAATATCAAAAAAGATCTTATCTTGTCAATTACGTTTCTAATGGTTTTGCACATATTGGTGTTCTTAATTATGCGATGAAACATATAGTATTTCAATGTTTCATCCATTTTACAACATATATCTGGAAAATAATTGAAATACAATAACTGATGTAGTTTATAAATACAATGTATCTTTTAAAAAAGCAAAAGAGTGAAATCATTTTTAGTACATATTTAAAATTTGTGTGAAAGTTAATTTTTAATTTTTAGTACATATATTTAATTTTTGTAAATGTTATTTAGAATTAAGTATTACTTTACTTGTCACCTGTTTTTTTATTTTCTAGATTAATTACATTGAACAAATTTCAATTTATAAATTATGACAAGTTTGAACTGTTTCACATGCTTTTGATATGGTTCAAGTTCCAATTTGCCATGTTATTTCAACTATTTTTTGTTTTATCTTTCAATTTCCACTTAACCAAGATATAAGAATTAAAATGAAGTTAAAAGGTCTAACATTAAATTCACGTCTAACATTTGGAATCGGTTAATAAGAATATTTATATTAATATAGTTTTTCTATTTTGTTCCTTAAAAAAATGTTTTATTGATCAGGACAAAATATGTGTGTGTGTGTGTCTATATATATATATATATATATATAATATATATATATATATATATATATATATATATATATATATATATATATATATATATATATATATATATATATATATATATATATATATATATATGTATATATATATATATGTATATATATATATATATATATATATATATATATATATATATATATATATATATATATATAGTATATATATATATATATATATATATGTATATATATATATATATATATATATATATATATATATATGTATATATATATATATATATATATATATATATATATATATATTTATATATATATATATATATATATGTATATATATATATATATGTATATATATATATATATATATATGTATATATATATATATATATATATATATATATATATATATATATATATATATATATATATATATATATATATATATATATATATATATATATATATATATATATATATATATATATATATATATATATATATATATATATATATATATATATATACAACCCTTAGGAAAAATGAGTTGGCCATAAATTACTAACCTCAAATTGTTAGAGGTTGGCATTCGGTTGGCAAAAGAACTTTGAATTCCATAAAACATAAAAACGAGGTTGGCAGTTTTTTGCTGACCTCAAACACTTTTAGGTCAGCATTGCCGAATGTCGACCCTAATTCTGAGGGTTCTCTCTCTCTCTCTCTTTATATATATATATATATATATATATATATATATATATATATATATATATATATATATATATATATATATATATTTATACATACACACACTGAAGCGCCCACAGCTTCTTATTTCAGTATGATATCATCAGTTATGCAGGTATTAGTGTAAAAGCGTATTCGAATACAAACTTTTGTTGGTTTAGTTTGGCGTTATTCTAATATATTTTGCACAACTTTGTTTCCCTTTAAGCAGTAAGATCCTTTATTAAGTCAAATCTCGTTGATAATTTGTGAGTATTTTAAAAATGAATACTAGTGGATGTTCTATTTATGATTATATAAGTTTCTGTATAAATAAAGTTAAAATATATAAAACAGTTATGTAGTTGTTGACTGCACAAGTTAAAGACTTCAAAATGTTGCAAAAAGATATTGCACATAAAAGGGCTTCAAAATTTTGCAAGAAGATGTTGGACATAGGAAGGCTTCAAAATTAAAATTGATATATTTTTTTTTATTTTTTTAATTTTTTTTATTTTTAGTCTTTTTTAAATTGTTTTTTCTGAAGAATTAACGAACTTTGACTCGAAGAAATTTGCTTAAACTGGTGTGATGGAGCCAAATAGAAAACCTTGCAGTAGAAGTTTACAAGTAAAAACTAAAGATAACAGAAAATCAATTTTAAGGTATTTTATTTAATTATTTTAAAATCAATTATTTTATATTTAGTTATTTTACAAATAACTAATTATTAATTTAAATTCCATATATTATTATTATTGGGTTTGTGAAGCCTAACTTTAAAAAGTGGATAAAATACATAATTCTTGAAAAAATGGATAAAATACATAATACTTGAAAAATTGGATAAAATACGTAATACTTGAAAAAAACAAGGTGTTTAGCGTTGAATCTGATCTACTAAGGAAGGTTATAAAATCTATAATAACCAAGGCAGTGAAGAACCCAGAGTTTATTTGGGGATACCGCTGGCAACATTTGGTAGGGGGGAAGGGGGAGTTGATGTTTTTGAATCGCCTCCCCCTCTCTCCTCCTCCTACCCTAGTTAAAAATGCTGCCGCGAAAATGAATTTTAATCATCATTTTAATCATTTGTGTTTATCTTGTTTAGTTTTATTCTAAATATGGAGTTGATTTAAAGACTTTTTTTTGAATACATGAATTTACCGGTGACCTTTAGTTACAATAAAACTATTTTACTCAAGACTTTAATAAACGCTTTTGTTGCAAATACCATGCTATTAGTAAGTAATTATTGAAAATTGTTTAAAGTATTTTAAGCATTAATTATATTTTTGTAAATTCAAGTTTAGTAGTTGTTAATGTTTTAAATAATTAGTAATTAAATGTTTAAATACTTTAAACAATTTTAATTAATGTTTACATTACTTAATATATTTACATATATTAAATTGCAAAATATTTGTAAAATTAACAAAATAGTTTTACGCCTTGTATTCGAATAACTATTCGAACAAAAAACATAAGTATTTAATAAATGTATTTAATGTTATTTTAATTTTAAAAATTTGATTTAAATATTAGCAAGTCTGTTCATTTAACTTTTACTAAAGGTTAATAGTTTTTAAAGCAATTTTATGGCGTTTTTTAAATTAAAGGTAATTAAAGAAGAAATAATAATGGTAAGCATAATTTGAAAAATCTTATATTTTTTTGATTAAAAATCATATTATATTTTAAAAAACATTTATATTTTAAAAAACATATATTTTAAAAAACATATTTTAAAAAATATATAATATCTTTTTAATTATAAGGTATAATTTAAAAAATTACGTTTAATAAATAATACAGTTACATTTACTATGGGTTAATTTAAACAGATCTTTAAACTTTTATTAATTTATTGTAATTGTTATTTTTATTATTTTAAAAGCCAAAAAAAGGAAAAGAAAAATTTCTGAAAAAGTAACTTTTTGTTTTTTCATTTTACTCACGTAAACTAAAATAGCAAGTTAAAGATAAAAAGTTTATTCGTTCAAAAATTAAATTTTTACTTTTATTCATTTATTATCAAAAGCAATTTTTTATCAAAAGCATTTATTATCAAAAGCAAAAAATAAAAGTTAACTTTACTCTGAATAAGTATTTTAAAATCGCTCCTATCTTTCGAAATAGCAAGTTATTTATAGATTCCATTGTTATAAAATTTTGCAACAAGTTTTTTAAATTAAGTTTCAAAACGACATTCATTTTTTTAAAAACTAACGTTCAGTTAGTAACTGAAGGACAGTTAGGTCAGGTAATCACTTAAAAAAGCAATTTTTTAATTCATTTTATTGACCTGAAGTAAAATTGAGGTAGCTAAAATTAACTGAAAATCATTTATATACTACTGTATTTAAAACTGAATTTTTTTTCTATTTTTAATAAAAAAGCAATAGGAAAATTAAAAAATAAAAATAATTTTTGGGTACTTTTTTTCGGGCGCCCATACTGTTCTAGCGGTACTAAAACAGGTCTGGGTTCCTTCAAGGTACTTTTTTCAAAAGTGGTGCTCTGATTTTGCTTTCATCTTGCCAAGAAATTTCTGCTAGTTATGTACATTCTAAGCAAAAAAAATTAAATTAAAAAAGATTATTAATACAACTAAAATTAATATTACTACAACTGAATATACATACATATATATGATATATTATATATTGTACATAGGTTGTTCTTTAAATCATAAAAATGCTTACATTATATTAATGGTATTAGTAATAGTAAATAAATAATATTTTGATCTTGTGAGATTTTTTCTTTCTGTTACTTAGGTTGACAAGAAGTACTGATGGAATCAGGTTGATTCAAAAAATATCAAGAAGATTGCAAATATGCAACAAACTAAGAAGACCATTCATGCTCAGGTTTGTTTGAAAAAGTTGTATTGTTTTAATAATTATTATGTTTTGAAAATCACCATAAATTAAATCAAAGATATAAGTGGATGAAGGTATTACGTTGCAAAAGAAAAAAAAAGTTTCTAGTTTTTTAGGTCAATAAAGGTTTTAAGTAGTGTTCATTTATACTTAATAAGGCAATACAAAAATTGAATATCATTTTTACAATGGATGAAGGAGTTAATTTACACATCAATTCACCCACAGAAATGCATAACATACATGTTGGTGCTAAGGGTCTTTATATTCTTTAATCAAAATAGGTTCATCAAAATAGCATTGTTCCATAAATATTTACATATCTTTGCTATAGAAACATAAATATTTAGATATCTTTGCTATAGAAACGTAAATATTTACATATCTTTGCTTTAGAAACATAAATATTTACATATCTTTACTATAGAAATATATATAAAACAAAATAATCAAAACTTTAACTCCAAATATCTCTGTTCCATATTAGAGTAAAATAACACCTACATCCACTTATGTCTTCAATTATTTCAATATTCAAATTGAATTTACATTGAATTATGGCAATTTTCAAATACAAAACTCAAAAATTGATAAATCACTTCATACAAATTCATACAAAATATAAAAAGTTGTTTATTTTTTGATTTTGATTTTAGTGTTCCCTTACCAATTATAATTATCAATAAATCTTTTCATTTTTCTAGATTAGTCTACCATGATTAGTCTTAGTGGCAGCTTTTTAAACTCACTAGCAAGGTTTTCAAAGCAAAAGCTACCATTTATTAGTGAGACCACTAGTTATTTGTTTAAGATATGGTTGAAACAATTTGCTAGTAGTGATTATAGTAATTTGTTAAATATTTTTAGGTACTTTAGTTATGTTTCAATTTTAATTTACAATTTTAAGTTGTTAGAAAATTTATTCAGTTTATTTTTAAGTGTCAACTCTGATTGCCTTATTTTGTTTTTGATTGCATTAAAATCAATAAAATTTTATACGCAATTTTTTGCACATAAAATTGCTGCTGTACCAATGGCATGATAGACAATAGCACTATCCATTGCTTCTAATAAATGTGCTTTATAAGAACTAATAAAGAATAAAGAACTAAGTGCAGTATGTTTTGTTTCTAACAGCTGTTACAATAACTTTGGGGGATTTTAGAATATCATGTGGCATAAACACTGATATGCCAGTTTTTACGCTTCTTTTTTAGAGCATTGCTTAATTATATCCAGGTTTATTTGCACCATGATTAAGATAATGTTCTTCTGTCTCCTCTGAGGTATTGTGAAAACATTTCATATATATATATATATATATATATATATATATATATATATATATATATATATATATATATATATATATATATAGGGTTTTTTTATTTTTATATATATATGTATATAGGGTTTTTTCAAATTAGTAGGAAATCACTTAGCAAAATTTTTTCTCATTTAACACTGTGTTTCATCAATAAAGATTCATCAGAAATGAATGATCAAATTAATAAAACTTCAATTTATACCAAAAATTAAATTACAGGAAGTCACATGTATTAATTACTGCAATTTTTCACACATTTGTGTAATTTGCTGACACTATTGTAAAAAGAATTCTTTAGAAATGATTACTTAAGCTTTTTTAAAAAAATAATATATTTTTTTCAAAGGGGAGTTAATGTAACTATTATTTGAGCTCACTTATTTTTATAGTTTTTTAGGAGAAACTTACTTTCGTGCCTGCATTTAGAAATCAATTCTGATTTTTTGTTTAATAAACATTCTTGGTTTGTATGTGTAATTATTTCAAATTTTTCTTGTAGACATAGTATGCATTTTTTGGAAATATTGTTATATGCAGGCACTGTTTTAAGGATGTCCAATTCAGTGTAAAATCATCAATATTTTTATCTTTTAATTCCCATTTATATTTTGACAGCATGGTGTCTTTTGAATACTTTTTATTTTTAAAAGATTGCTTATGATTGGCTATATATATATATATATATATATATATATATATATATATATATATATATATATATATATATATATATATATATATATATATATGTATATATATATATATATATATGTATATATATATATATATATATATATATATATATATATATATATATATATATATATATATATATATATATATATATATATATATATATATATATATATATATATATATATATATATATATATATATATATATATATATATATATATATATATATATATATATATATATATATATATATATATATATATATATATATAGTACTGGACAAAAGTCTGAGACCAAGGGTTAAAAAAGACTAAAAACTGATTTTAACCATAAAATTTTATTCAATGAACAACTATGTTAATTTTTTCCAATATAATTCATATTACTAGGAATAAGTACAACATACTTTGTGAAATAAAACACAAAATGTCCATGTCATGTCAGTATTTTATGGGCATTCCTTTAGCCGCTAGCACAGCAGTAATTCTCCTGGGCATCGAACTGATCAAATTTTCACAATAAGCAGGAGTGATTTCATTGGACCAAACCAACATTATCTTTTTTTTCAAATCATCATATGATGATGGCTTTAAAGCGGCTACCTTTTTCTTTAACAGATGCCAGCAATTCTCTATTGGCTTTAAGTCAGGCGAGGATCCCGACCAAGGAGAAAGTACCTGAATATTTTTCTCAGCAAGCCATTTAGTAATCACCTTTGCCCGGTGACATGGTGCACCATCATGCTGGAAGATTGTACAACCAAAAAGAGGCAGCTACTTAAGCAAATTGCTTTTCAAAATTTTCAGATATTCATTGGCATTAATGGTTGTTTTAGGAGGCATGAACCAAATACCTGCTTGTCCTCTGGTTGAAATTGAAGCCCAGACCATGATTGATTGGCACTGTTTAACATTGCATTTGGTGTACTTGGGATTCAGTCGCTGATTAACAGGTCTATAAACAAAAAAATGAAGAGGAGCAAACTGCTTTATTTGACTTTCATCTGAAAACATCACTCGCGTCCAGTCTTTGTGCTTTTGACAAAAGGCAATCCGATCCTTGATGTTCTTGGCAGAAAGCCTAGATTTAATGGAAGGATGCCGGGCATGCAGGTTGAAATTAGAGGATAGTCTTTGTCTGATAGGTCTGAAGGAAACAGGAACAGAGGATGGCAAGTTGTGTTGTATTACTGTGGATGATGACATTGGAGAATTAGTACAAGTGCAATGAATCAAGCGGTCAGTCTGCATAGAGGTACATTTTGGTCTACCAGATCTTTTTCGGGAAGTTAAGCTGCCAGTTTGCTGCAATCGAGTTATTGTGTTATGAACTGCAGTTTTAACAACAGACAAACGTTCAGCAATGCTTCTCTCGGTGTATCCCCCCTCTTTTAAAATACTGATCTGTGCTCGAACTGATATTTGTAACTCACACATTTCAGTGAAAGAAAATTAATGCTAAATCAAAAATGAGAATTTGAAGCACAAACAGCAAATGCCAGATTCATTAAAAAATAACTATATATATATGCAATACAGTATGTATGTATGTAATGCATGTATATAACAACATAATACCACAACAGCGCTAATATGCGTCAACCCTAGGACACTTTTATGTTTATTATCTGCTATAAACTATTACGTAATCTATAATTTGCCATCATGCAGTAATAAACTAACGCAAATATCAACGCAAAACCGAATAATATAGTGCATGGTTCATATAAAGTTCAAAGAAGTTATGCGTGCAACATACTACATATATGACAATTGTATTACTCATCAGTTTTCCTCACATCATCAGTGATGCTGACAATAAATTGTTGTGTTCTGAATTATGTTGAATTACTAATATGAATTATATTGGAAAAAATTGACATGGTTGTTCATTGAATAAAATTTTATGATTAAAATCAGTTTTTAGTCTTTTTCAACCCTTGGTCTCAGACTTTTGTCCAGTACTGTATATATAAATATATATATATATATATATATATACATATATATATATATATATATATATATATATATATATATATATATATATATATATATATATATATATATATATATATATGTATATGTTATATTAGAATAAAATTAAGTACAATTAAATTTAATTGTATTTAATTTAATTGTACCTAATTATTATTCTAATATAATATATATTTGCTCTGCTTTTGTATTGAGTCTACTGAAAAATTACTTTTATTACTGATATATATATATATATATATATATATATATATATATATATATATATATATATATATATATATATATATATATATATATATATATATATATATATATATATGTATGTATATATATATATATATATATATATATATATATACATATATATATATATATATATATATATATATATATATATATATATATATATATATATATATATATATATATATATATATATATATACTCATGATCATAAAATTGTTATTTGTAAATATTTAGAGTGGTGAAAAGGAGAACAAAAGATGGTGTATGTTTAAAAAAAAAAAAACATAATGTTAACCCAAGTACATATAGTATTCAGGTTTGTTTCTACAATACTGTTAAGGTTATACTTTAAAAGTAATATTAAAAAAAAAAAAAAATGTTTCAGTTTTTTTGTTATAGAAGTACTCACTTTTCGAGCAATTCCAGAATGTGTTCATTTTTATAATTTCTTTTATCAAAGTTTTTTTTCAGAAGTCATTTTTAATGAAGACAAATATTATTTTAGGCAGGGCTCAATTTAATGGTCGGACATTGCTGCCCCTCGAACGATTTTTAAGACCGGCTAGAAGAGGGCAACTAACCATTGTTAATTTTTCAGTAAAAATGAACAATGGATAGTTGCCCCTATTATTTGGCGGTGATGTCCGACCGTTAAATTGAGCTCTATTAGGTTATTTTAGTTATTATCTAATAATATTTTTAGACCCAGGTTACTTTCATGAATGATTTTTTTTTTTTTAAATATGTACATTAATTACATTAAAAATTATTTTTGCCTAAAAAGTTAAATTAAATTTTGTAAGAAAACAGCACAATTTTTTAGCATTAACACAGTTCTTGTGATAGAAAACTTAAGTACCTTGTTCTCTTTTTTCTAATGCAGCAATCATAAAGCTCGTCTTTCATTTCAAACTATTTAAATCTATGATTGATTCCTTGTTTTTTTTTTTTTTTTTCTCCTTTTTTGCTTAAACACTATTATGTTAAACAGTCTTAAGTTGTTAAATGTGTCTATACTTTTAAAAAGTTAAAAGTATATTCGATACTTGTTACAGTCGTTTATACTTTTAACAATAGTTTACATGTTAAAAGTATAGAGAACTTGTTACAGTCATCTATACTTTTAACAAGTAAACTATTTAACATGTGCTTATTAGAGTCTTGTTTTCCGTTCTGCTGGAAAACAGCATCTGTTATCCTTATTTTCAAAAACTCTAGAGAGCGATCTGACTTGTCTAACTACCGTCTTCTTTCTATCAATAGCAAGGTTTTTGAGTCTTTAATTAACAAAAACTTAATCTCTCATCTTGGATCTAATAATTTACTTCCTGATCATTACAGGGAATATCTTTTTCCGGATATTTCCGGAATTCCGGATATTTTTTCCAAAAAATAGTTTTTCCGGATATCCAAAATGTTTTCTCATACATTCAAGTTTATATAATATTTGTTTTAATGTATATACACTTTTCGTTTTCAGTGATCAGCCATAAAAAAAATGTCAAAAATGTCTATAAAAGTTCTGAAACCTACCAGCTGAGAGCAAAATTAGGAGATTAGTAAGGGAAAATATGTTCCGGATTTTTCCGGATATTTTACATAAACTATATTTTCCGGATTTTTAAAAAATGACCTGGATGATCACTGTCATTAATATGGATTTCGATCTTCTCGTTCTATCGCTGATTTGTTAATGGTAATAATTGATAGGTTTTATTGTACATTCGATAGATGTGGAGGGACTAAGGCTATCGCTCTCGACATTTCTAAAGCTTTTGATAAAGTTTGGCATGCTGGTCTTCTCCATAAACTTTCATCTTTTGGAGTATCATGTAACATCCTTAAGATTATTGAATCCTTCCTTACCAATTGTAGTATAAAAGTTATCTTCAATGGACAGCACTCTTCTTCATATCCTGTAATTTCAGAGGTTCCTCAAGGTTCTCTCCTTGGCCTTATACTCTTTTTAATTTACATTAATGATCTTCCAGAAGTTCTCACATCTAATATTGCATTGTTTGCTGATGACACTATCATTTATTCTTGTCTTGATAAGAAGCCAACACTCAATGATTGCTTGGAGGGGGCATTTGAGCTTGAAAAGGATCTCACTTCTGCTACAGCATGGGGCTCTCAGTGGCTGGTGAACTTTAACTCAGATAAAACTTAATTTTTTTCAGTTAATCGTTAACGCAATAATCAAAGTCTTTCTATACTTATAAACAGTAATGTAATCAATGAGTCATCTACCCTTCATCTTCTAGGACTAGCTCTTACTTCCAATCTTTCTTGGAAACCATATATCAAATCCATTGCAAAATTAGCATCTGCTAAGGTTGTATCTATGCAATTGTGTTTACAATGCATTTTCGCAAGATGCAAAAATGCATTGTAAACATAGTTAGACCTGCTCTTGCAGCCAACCTCCAACCATTATCACATTGTCGTAATGTTGCTTCTCTTTCTCTTTTCTTCAAATTCTATAATGGGCACTGCTCTAAAGAGCTATCATCTCTTTAAAAATCATTCTTGTGCTACTCGCCATTCAATTAAGTGGCATCCATTACTGTGACTGTTCCTAAGTGCTCCTAAAGCTCTTATTCGCCTAGTTTTTTTCCTCGAATATCAGTTATTTGAAATTCACTTCCTTCTTCTTGTTGGAATTCACTTCCTTCTTCCTGATTCATATAATTTGAAATCATTCAAGTTCTCTGTCAATCGTTATCTTGCTTTATAACCTTCAGTTATAAAGCAAGATAACGATTATCTTGCTTTATAACCTTCGGGTCTTTGTAAGTTTATTCCTAATTTAACTTTTTTATACTTTTTCCTTATATATCCTAGCTTTCTGCCTGTAAAATACGGGTCTTTACCAAACCTAATTAATATGTGCACCTTCTTTGCATACATAGAGCTTATAAGAATCTTATAATTAGGTTTGTTTTTTCTGCTAAATGCATTTCATTGATAGCTCAGTGGTTAAGTGTGCTGTCATCAGTGTTGTTTTGTGGGGTTTAAGACCTCCTTTTAATTTTGTTGCATACAAATGCATAAAATTATATAAAATTGTTACAGATATATCATTTCATGGATAATAGACTGTATTTACTACAATAACAATAAATAAATAATTTTGTTTTTATTAGAATATATCCCATAAAAATATATTCCAAATATCTTTAATAGAAGAAGTTTTTTTAAAAAAATTTAAATTAAATCTATTTTTTAGTTTGTTTTTCTAGTTTTTTGCCACAAAGTGACGTCTAATAAGCAAAAAATTGTAGCTTTAACGGTTTATGAAAAAGCCTCAACTATCATTTTTAATGGTATTAGAATCAGATGATGTAATTTTAGCAATCAGAAGTTATCAAAAGAAGGGCAAATCTAAAATTGAAGTTTTAAATTTTCCACTTGGATGAGACAATATGTTTTGTGCTTTTTCAATCTTGTCAATTTTTTTGAATATAATCAATAATAATAAAGAAATATAATACAAAAAATCAAAACATAACAGCTTGAGCAAAAAAAGACTTGTAATTATTAGAAAAGTTTACTTATATTACATATGATCCTGAATAAAACATTATATAAGTGGATTTTTTCCATTTTATAAACAATATATATAAACAAATAACGTGTATATATATATATATATATATATATATATATATATATATATATATATATATATATATTTACATGCTTTTCAGCATGTAAAACAGCATGTTTTACAATCAGTAGGTTCATCAGAAAGCAATATATATATATATATATATATATATATATATATATATATATATATATATATATATATATATATATATATATATATATATATATATATATATATATATATATATATATATATATATATATATATATCAGGCTTTCCCAGGAAAGGCGTGCGGTCGCACGTCTTATTTGTCCACGCATAAAGTAAATTTTTCTGTAAATGTTTTGTTATTATGCGTTTCAAAAATTCGCGACAAAACAAAGCTAAATGAAAATACCACAAAAATGCAAGCAATCTTAAAGTAAATAACAGAAATCTGTTTGTGCTTTAAAATTAAAAAATTAATGTATATTATTAAAAAAAAATTTTATCTATATTTTATTTATTTATATATATATTTTTTTTAGGGTGGTAGTTATTTTAGCTATGAAAAATCAAATCAATAAGAAAAATCAAATAAAAAAAAAAAGGTTATAATTTAATGAAAGTAAAAGGACCTTTTAATGTAAAATTTGTTTATAACTTTTATCAGTCAGTAATACTTTAAAATTCCCAATAGAACTATAAACATTTTTTAAATGTTTCGTAAATATATTTAAATGTTTAAACGTATTGATACGCAAGAAAGCGCGAAAGCAATTGCTATTTATTTGTAAAATTTTTTTTTTTTTTATTTTCAAATGAAAGAAAATTTTATGTCAAACGATTGAGTTTATTTTATTTTGCAATCATTAATTGACATTGTTAACAAGTGTTAATATATAATAATGTCCCGAAGGAACTGTTTTCGTAACAATGACAACAGAAGCAATGCAGTTATTTTTTTAACTTCTTTCGTAATTACAAAATTATGCAATTGAATAATTTCAACGTAATAAAAGACGAGCATTGACTCAGTATAATCAGTTTAGAATAAGTCGAGAGAGAACTTTTTTCACATTAAAATTTTGTTATGTTTAAAATCTCAAATAATATATTTAATAACTAAAATAGCAATTTATTTTCTTGTCTAAGTATTGGGGAATAACGTCATCGCCTCTGCATAAACCTTCGTAAAAACTAAATTAAATGAAAAAATTTAACTAAATTTGTCTAGCGTAAATAATGAATCAGTTTTTTAATACGTTGTCTGATAAATTTCGTGAATAAATTACGTATCAAGTCTTTTTATTTTCATGAAAACTTAATGACTTATAGTTGTCTTTTCCTTGACTTGTATCAAATTTCGTAGCTGAAAATAGCAACCCTAAAAAAAGAAAAAAAAACAGTATAAAAATTTTGAAAAAAATGTTCAAGACTTTTTTTTTTTGTTACAAGAATTTATTTTTTTTAATTTTTTTTTTTATTATTAAAATATTTTTCTTACATCCAATTTGAATTTTATACTTTGTTTAGACTTTGTTTCCTTTTTTTAATATTATTTTTTATTCTCTGTGGATAAGTTTCGCTTTCCCACGAAATATTGCTGCGGTCACATTTTCTGAAAAATTTATTCTATGCGTGGACAAACAAGGCGTGCAACCGCACGCCTTTCCTAGTAAAGCCTGATATATATATATATATATATATATATATATATATAT